TATATAAAAGCTCGTTGCGGCGCTCGGGGATGAGAGAGAGAGAGAGAGAGAGAGGAAGAGAGAGCTATATATAAACTGCTCTACGCAGTTGATACGCATCCGAGCTATATACAGTTATAAGGACGATAGATCGGCGGCAGCGCGTCATAGACGGAAGATCAAAGACTCGACTGGAGCGTCTGGTCGTCGACGTCGTCGTCGTCGTCATCGTCGCCGCTGGCCTGACTATATATATATATAAGGACACGTCGTATTTGGACTCGCGTGCAGCTTTCTACACACTATATACGTATATACATATATCTCATACACACGCTTTGTAATTGCAGCCTGCGGGACTCGATCGACCATCGCGTCTCTTTACGCTCGCACATACGTATACCGGCCAACTGCATCCTCTACGATGCACAGCCGGATGGGCACACACACACACGCACATATCGACGCCTCTTACGAAAAGTAGGTAGTTTACGTGTTAAGTTAAATGTAAACTTCCTACTTTTCGTAAGAGGCGTCGATATATTCCCTGAACAGTTGATGTATACGTGTGCGATGCACAGCTACGAGCTGCGAGTTCTGTGATATATATACACGTCCGTATCGTCTCAAGAGCAGCTTAGGAATATAACGAATCATTCATGTACGTGGTGCGCACAAAATGTAGAGTACCCCACCGCACCAATGAATGAGCCTGAAAAAATATGAACTTTTCCCTTTTTCGCCTACACAAACACACACGCATAAGTGCCTTGTAACTGTTAATTCGTTCGCGACAAAGGCAATCTCGTTAGTACAGCATTTAACAAAAAAAATTTCCCAGTCCTCTACTCTCTTTTTTGCCTCCTCTTTTTAGCTGTGTGGCACAAGTATGCCGTTTGACCGAGGATTGAAATACGTCCCGGAGAGATTATACGTAACGTGTGGCACACGCGTGTACCTTCTGTTGCGTGATGCGGTGACCTGCTTCTTCGAAGCGTATCCGCTCGAGCTCATTAAATTTTGTTTTCTCCCGACGCTCGATTGTAATGATGAATCTGCGGCAGCTGCAAATTTCTACGCGAATATGCGCGAATATTTGTAAACGGTTATCTTTCTGTATCGCAGATCACTTTAGTCGCTCATTCTCAAAATGGACATCTTTTTGCGTCTTCAATTAGTTTTGACAAAAAGCATAGAGTAAAAAGAAAAATTATGAATAGTTCACTGTGAGCAAACACAGGTTAAATAGTGCTTTATTATAAAATTATTTTGACTTTGCCACTTGCAGATTTACATATGGAGGTACTTGCCATCTAGCGGCCAAGGCTGGCTTTAACTGTAATGTGTTTTGGTTAAATTTTATATGCAATTAATGCAAAAAATAAATCAGTTCCAAAACAATCATTCGAATCAAATTTTTTTAAATTGAGTATAGAATTAATTATTTTTCATTAATTTTGCATCGACAGCGATAACTTGTGCGAATGTATTTTAAGTTTTAACAAATATTTAATGTAAAAGCACCATAAGTAAACTTCAGTATCATTTACTTTAATTTATAAAATATATCTAAATTTACGACAAATTTCCACTAAATGCAAGGTCAAAATTTTTTATAACAGACCAGTTAATTAATTTATTGCCCTTAGTATGTTATTTCATAATTTTTTCACTCTCGTATATTAGTGATTTTCAATTTCTTGATGATAATATCATCATACTCATAACAATACTCGATTTCATATCGAACTATGGTTTATTGGTAAAGTAATGTCATTAAAAACAAAATTTTTTTCCGTACACGCAGAAATTTCAATCCAATAAATATTTATATGATACCTTTACAACCTTTACGGATTGTCTCTTGGTGAGATAGCAAACTCGATTTATATCCAAATTTCTTCATGCAATTGTCGCACGCGTAATTTTTGCGATTTTTGTGAACTACCTGTAAGTGAGTTAGCAAATTTGATTTTTGTGTAAATTTCTTCTCACACTGGTCACATGCGTAATCTTTTCAACCCTCATGGACTGTTTAATGGTGCTCGATTAAATTCCATTGAACAGCAAATTTCTTCTCGCATTTTTCACATGCATAATATCTTCCACCTTCATGGACTGTTCTTTGATGGGAAAGCAAAGACTGTTTATATCCAAATTTTATCTCGAATTTGTCGCATGAATAATCTTTGCTATTTTTGTGGACTGTCCTTTGGTGAATGAGTAGATGCACTTTTTGTCCAAATTTACTCTCGCATCTGTCGCATGCGAAATCTTTCCGGTCTTCGGATTTTTCTATAATATAAATTTTTCTTCGCTTTTGAATGCGATTTTGTGTCGGGTTTTGGAAATATTTTGCGCTTACACAATTTGTCGTAAAATTGAATGTCTTTTCAGTATCCGAGCTAAATTTAAGATTTGGTGCTTAGTTAGAAAGTTATAAATGTTTAAACAAAAAAGTAACGTAAAAATTTGTGCAAAACTTCGACTTTGAGAATTTTTTTCGAAGTGTTGCGGTGAAAAACTCAAATACTATCAGAAGTGAACATGAGTGTTGTAGTAAATTAAGGAGTTTTACAGATTTTCCAACAACTTATTTGAACAAAATCGCGTCCATCGTGCAAGAAAATGGATGTACAGGTGAGAATGTGTAATTTTTTGCTCGAAAACAATTGAGTTTAGAAAAAACGTTTAGAGAACAAATCAATAATCAATAAAAGAACACCCTCGAATTTTTTCAGAATTATTATTGGAGAAGATTTTGAGAAATTAGATTCCACAAATTTTCCAGAAATTGGATAATTGTCTCTAAAAATTCTGAAACAATTCGAGGATGTTTTTTGATTGATTCCAATACTCTTGTGTTCTAAAACATTTTTCAAAAAATCAATGGTTTTCGAAAAATCTCTATGAAAAAATCTGAAAAGATTTAAGTTTTTGTATTTTGTATCCTTATGCCGTCAGAATTACAATTGTGTCTGACCTTTGATTAATTGATTGATAATAACCATTTATTTATTTTTCTTGCCTGTGCACTCTCTTCTCCTCACTTTTAGGTAACTGGCAACAGGTCGCTGACACGACCAATACATTATTAATTTACCGTCATTTGTTGTAACTATTACTTTTACAAAACGTATTTTTATTATCGATCAGTATTTTAGTATTCAGCAGTTCATAAAAATTTCATAACTAACGCATATTTGATCAATTCAGGGTTGCTTATCATCACATGAGGTTAATCAAAAATCGAGTAGCCTACTAGGTACCGGCGCTATTCATAGTTTTGATTATTCGCTAGCCAAAAAATTAACAGAGACAAGTAATTAATAGTACGCGAAATCTAGAAGCCACAACAGCAATGAAAAAAGGGACGATGATAATTGATATCAGGTAAGATTTGAAAAATTATGAACAATTTAATTATTAGTCCGCAAAAAAGTCCATTTATAATTATTAATATAAATGTATATTTACAATTTTCAATCATCATTTTTTCTCGAACTTGTCACATACCTAACCTTTGCGACTTTCATGTCGTTTCTTTATGTGTTTGAGCAAATGATGTTTATATCCAAATTTATTCTCGCATTTATCGCATGCGTAATCTCTGCAACCATCATGAACTACCTTTTGGTGGAAAAGCAAACTGGATTTTTTTCCAAATGTTTTCTCGCACATGGCGCAGGCATTGTCTTTGCGACCATCATGGACTGTTCTTAAGTGGATTAACAAATGCCCTTTTTGTCCGAATTTCTTCTCGCAATTATCGCACGCGTAATCTTTGCGACCTTCGTGGACCATCTTTTGGTGTAAGAGCAAAGTCGATTTAATTCCGAATTTCTTCTCGCAATTGTTGCATGCGTAACCTTTGTGACTTTCATGTATTGACTTTTTGTGTCTGAACATATCTGATTTTTGTCCAAATTTCTTTTCGCATTTGTCGCATGCGTAATCTTTGCGACCTTCGTGGACTGTCCTAAGGTGCATCAACAAATATGATTTACTTCCCAATTTTTTCTCGCATTTATTACATTCGTAATAATCTCTGCAACCTTCATGAACTGTCCTTTGGTGTTTTATCAATTCCGGTTTTTGTCCAAATTTCTTTTCGCATTTATCGCATGTGAAATCTTTGTGGCCTTCGTGTACTGTCTTTTGGTGCTGAATCATAATCCATTTGTATCCAAATTTCTTTTCACAAGTATCACATGCGAAATCTCTACGACCGTCGTGTACTGTCTTTTGGTGGGACAGCAAAGTCTGCTTACGTCCAAATTTTTTCTCGCATCTGTCACACGCATAATCTTTTTGACCTTCATGTACTACCGTTTGGTGTTGAAGTAAATGCCTTTTATGTCCAAATTTCTTCTCGCATCTGTCGCATGCGAAATCTTTGCGACCCTCGTGGACTGTTCTTTGGTGGGAAAGCAAAAGCCATTCGTGTCCAAATTTCTTCTCACACCAGACGCATGCGTAATCATTTCGACGTTCATGTACTATCTTTTTGTGCCTGAACAAATCTGACTTGTGTCCAAATTTTTTTTCGCATTTATCGCATGCAAAATCTTTCCGATTTTCATGGACTGTTTTTAAATGGACGAGCAAATTTCTGTTTTGTCCAAACTTCTTCTCGCACTTGTCACATGTGTAATCTTTTCGACGTTCATGTACTGTCTTTTGGTGTTTGCTCAAATTGCCTCGGATTCCAAATTTTTTTTCGCATTTATTGCATGCGTAATCTTTACGACCTTCGTGGACCGTCTTTTGGTGGGTGAGCCAATTACATTTTAATCCAAATTTCTTCCCACACTTGTCACATGAGTAATTTTTATGGACCCTAAAAATAAAATTATTCCGACCTTCTTCATGTACTGTCTTTATATGCACGAGTAAACTCTGTTTATTTCCGAATCTCTTGGCGCACTTTTCACATAAGTAATCTTTGAAAACTTCATGGAATATCTTATTGTGCTTGAGTAAAGTTGATTTATTTTCAAACTTCCTCTCGCACTTGTTACATGAGAAATCTTCGTGATCTTTGTGAACTAATTTTTGGTGCGTAAGCAAACTCGATTTTTTCAAAAATTTCTTCTCGCAATTGTCACATGGAAAATTTTTGTGGCTTTTGTGTTTTGATACTTGGTGTCTACTCAAGTGACTTCGGAACTCGAATTTTTGTTCACACTTGTCACATTCGTAATTTTTCTGATTATCGTGAATTGTGTCTCTATGTGTTATCATACTAGATTCTTGTGTAAATGACTCCTGACAAATATTACAAACGTATTTTTTGTCGTCTGAAACAATAATGTCGGGTTTACTCACATTATTTTCCGAGAAATCTTCGAATTTTCTCTCACGTTTATCCATTTTAATGCCTGAATTAAATGATAGATTCTTCTATATTATGATGTTACGAACATTGAACAAGTGAAATTTACGTTTTGGAATTGTACAAGCTTGTATTATTGAGAAAGACAACATTCAAACTAATTTATTTTCATTCTAAACATTATCAGTGTTCGAGGGGACGATGTGAAAATCGTATATGATCACGTTGTTTACAATTAAGTTAACGATTTATTTATTCATACTTACAATATTTGAAAAAATTTAATCTTCATTTTGAGCTTATAAAAAACAACGTGCTAAGAACCAATTGCTTTCAAATAAGTTGCTTACGTACTAAGTACTTAACTACTATAAACATTATTATAATTATTATTTGCACATATCTTGAGAATTCAATCTAAGTTAAATAAGTTAACCAAATTTTCCTGCGATATCTGGTTCTACGACATCACAGAGCTTCCTTTAGGAAGAAGCAAAATACGTAAACTCAATCACGGTCAAAGTTAAAACGTAAGAACCACCGTGGACACTGCTTTGAAAAATTCTTAATGGTCCTTCGTGTGCGGAGTATTATGCATTATGTTTTGTACATGTATTCCATAAAAAGCAGTAATGAAGAGTTATTTATAGTGTTTAAGCTAATGAATGATGTTAATATTAGAGGTTGTCAATGAAAGGTATTGTAGATAATTTCTTATGGAAATTTCAGGTTGTATGTATGTTTACAGTGGCAGATAGGAAAAAATGGCATCCCCATGAAAACTTTCGTTTGCGGCTCACGTAATTTGAAGAGCTTCAAAATAAGATTTTGCTGATATGATAAAAGTACTGCCTAGCTTAGAAGAGGATAACAAAAAATTACGATGGCTGTGACTAATTCGGAAAAAATTTAGAAACCATTGTTTAATTTAAATTAACATATAAAGTGGTTTCTGCTTCAAGTTCTCGGTAAAACGTATTGTTACAATCAATCACGTCTCGTTTAAAAGAAATAATCAGTATCAAATGATCCGTTCCTAGTTTCAAACAAGATATGTGAAACAAACTATTGGCCAATCTAAATCGTTGCATGAAGAGATGCAGGAACCAAGTAGCCAAAAAATGAACACAAACTAGTAATTAGACGTACGCGAAATCTAAAAGCGACAACGACAGTGAAGAAACGGATGATGATAGTTGATACCAGGTAAGATTTTAACAATTAGACACAATTTAATTTAAAAGTTGGAAAAAAATTTATAAATAATTATACACTGAGAAAAAAAATTCATTGATTCAATGAAACGTTTAATTGGATACAATCTATGAAATAATTTCATTGAAATAATCTTTTTTTATTTCATCCGACAAAATATTTAATGTTTTTACCAAAGTTTCATGAAAACAATTAAATATTTTGTTGGATGAATGAATTATTTCATAGATTGTATTCAATTAAACGTTTCATTGAATCAATGAATTTTTTTTCTCAGTGTAGATATATATGTATATTTACACTTTTCAATCATCATTGCTTCACAAATTTGTGCCACGTGTATTATGAACGTTTTTTTTGTGTCTGGTCAAATGTATCTTTTGTCCAAATTTCTTATCACACTTGTCGCATGGATAATCTTTTTGGCCTTCGTGGACCGTCTTTTGGTGCTTCAACAAATCTGATTTTTGTCCGAATTTCTTCTCGCACTTTTCGCATGCATAATCTTTGCAACCTTCGTGGACTGCTTGTTGGTGTCTGATCAATGACATTTTTAGTCCAAATATTTGCTTGCATCTGTCGCATGCAAAATCTTTGTGAACTTCGTGTACCGTCTTTTGGTGCTTCACCAAATTTGATTTACTTCCGAATTTCTTCTCGCATTTGTCGCATGTAAAATCTCTGCAACCTTCGTGCACTGTTTTTTGATGTATGAGCAAAGTCGATTTTAATCCAAATTTCTGTTGGCAATTGTCGCATGCAAAATCTTTGCGACCTTCGTGTACTGTCTTTTGGTGCTGAATCATAACCCATTTGTATCCAAATGTCTTTTCACACGCATCACATGCGAAATCTCTACGACCGTCGTGTACTGTCTTTTGGTGGGAGAGCAGATTGGATATTTGTCCAAATTTCTTCTCGCATTTACTACATGCATAATCATTTCGACGTTCATGTACTGTCTTTTTGTGCCTGAACAAATCTGATTTTTGTCCAAATTTTTTTTCGCATTTATCGCATGCAAAATCCTTCCGATTTTCATGGACTGTTTTTAGATGGACGAGCAAATTTCTGTTTTGTCCAAACTTCTTCTCGCACTTGTCACATGTGTAATCTTTTCGACGTTCATGTACTGTCTTTTGATGATTGCTCAAATTGCCTCGGATTCCAAATTTTTTTTCGCATTTATCGCATGCGTAATCTTTGCGACCTTCGTGGATCGTCTTTTGGTGTAAGAGCAAAGTCGATTTCAATCCAAATTTCTTCCCACACTTGTCACATGAGTAATTTTTATGTACCCTAAAAATAAAATTATTACGACCTTCGTGGATTGTTTTTGCGTGTCTAATCCATTCCGTTTTTTGTTCACATTTCTTGCCGCGATCACGATTATCATGTACTGTCTTTATATGAACGAGTAAACTCTGTTTATTTCCGAATCTCTTGGCGCACTTTTCACATAAATAATCTTTGAAAACTTCGTGGAATATCTTATTGTGCTTGAGTAAAGTTGATTTATTATCAAATTTTCTCTCACACTTGTTGCACGTGAAATCTGTGTGATCTTTGTGAACTAATTTTTGGTGCGTAAGCAAACTCGATTTTTTCAAAAATTTCTTCTCGCAATTGTCACATGGAAAATTTTTGTGGCTTTTGTGTTCTGATACTTGGTGTCTACTCAAGTGACTTCGGAACTCGAATTTCTGTTCACACTTGTCACATTCGTAATTTTTCTGATTATCGTGAATTGTGTCTCGGTGTTTTATCATACTTGATTCTAGTGTAAATGCCTCCTGATGAATATCACAAATATGTTGTTTGTCGTCTGAAACAATAATGTGAGGTTTACTCACTTTATTTTCCGAGAAATCTTCGAGTTTTCTCTCACTTTTATCCATTTTAATGCCTGAATTAAATGATAGATTCTTCTATATTATAATGTAACGAAAATTGAACAAGTGAAATTTACGTTTTCGAATTGTACAAGCTTGTATTATTGAGAAAGACAACATTCAAACTAATTTATTTTCATTATAATCATTATCAGTGTTCGAGGGGACAATGTGAAAATTGTATATGATCACGTTGTTTACAATTAAGTTAGCGATTTATTTACTCATACTTACAATATTTGAAAAAATTTAATCTTCATTTTGAGCTTATAAAAAACAACGTGCTAAGAACCAATTGCATCCAAATAAGTTGCTTACGTACTAAGTACTTAACTAGTATAAGGGTCAAAATAATACTTTTTTACAAAACCGTGCGCACGTATGTCACCGATCTTGACGCGCTTTTGGTATGTTATAGTACATGGTAAAAAGGTCCCAAAAAAAAATTTTAGACCCCCTCCCCCCTCCTACCCCCCACTTCCGGTATGAACGTCCATTTTCGATCTATATTTTTTCTGAGGACACGAAGCAATTAAAAAATCTGAAAAAATTCACAAAAATACTTTTCAATAATCCAAACCACCTTGAATTTTTTCAGAATTTTTAAGTGCTTCAGGCCTTCAGAAAAAATCATTGAAAATTTTAAAAATCGAGATACGGCGGTATGAGCCGATGTAGTACTCGGAAATTTTTTCAGTTATTTTTCGCATTGAAAAACATAACCTCAATTTTTTTTAAATTTTTTCAGATGACCTAACGCACCTTTTGAAGCCAAAAACCGATTTTTTTGACGAAAATAATTTTTATAGGACAGTATGGAGCCTCGAAAAATCTGAAAAAAATTTTTTCTTGTTTTTTTCATCAAAATACATAATCTCAAATTTTTTCAGATTTTTTAATTGAAGGCGATAGCTTCTAGGGCCGAAAAATGCTATTTTTAACAAAAAATGGTTCCTAGAACCCGATGGTTCCGGTGAAAAAATTTGAAAATATTTTTTTTGAATTCCTTGTCAAATTTTAATAAATTTTGACCGTTTCAAAAGTTCGATTGAAGCTTCCTAGCTCATTTTAGAGCAGGACAAAGATTAGTGCAAAATATCTGAAGACGTTTCTGAAGACATTAAGGAATGATAAAACTCGTTTGATGCTCTAAAATGAGCTAGGAAGCTTCAATCGAACTTTTGAAACGGTCAAAATTTATTAAAATTTGACAAGGAATTCAAAAAAAATATTTTCAAATTTTTTCACCGGAACCATCGGGTTCTAGGAACCATTTTTTGTTAAAAATAGCATTTTTCGGCCCTAGAAGCTATCGCCTTCAATTAAAAAATCTGAAAAAATTTGAGATTACGTATTTTGATGAAAAAAACAAGAAAAAATTTTTTTCAGATTTTTCGAGGCTCCGTACTGTCCTAAAAAAATTATTTTCGTCAAAAAAATCGGTTTTTGGCTTCAAAAGGTGCGTTAGGTAATCTGAAAAAATCTGAAAAAAATTGAGGTTATGTTTTTTAATGCGAAAAATAACTGAAAAAATTTCCGAGTACTACATCGGCTCATACCGCCGTATCTCGATTTTTGAAATTTTCAATGATTTTATCTGAAGGCCTGAAGCACTCAAAAAATCTGAAAAAATTCAAGGTTGTTTGGATTGTGGAAAAGTATTTTTATGAATTTTTTCAGATTTTTTACTTGCTTCATGTCCTCAGAAAAAATATAGATCGAAAATGGACGTTTATACCGGAAGTGGGGGGTAGGAGGGGGGAGGGGGTCTAAAAATTTTTTTTTGGGACCTTTTTACCATGTACTATAACATACCAAAAGCGCGTCAAGATCGGTGACATACGTGCGCACGGTTTTGTAAAAAAGTATTATTTTGACCCATAAATATTATTATTATTATTATTATTTGCACGTATCTTGAGAATTCAATCTAAGTTCAATAAGTCAACCAAATTTTCCTACGATATCTCATGGTTCTACGACATCATAGAGCTTCCTTTAGGAAGAAGCAAAATAACTAAACTCAATCACGGTCAAAGGTAAAACGTTAGAACCACCGTGGACACTGCTTTGAAAAATTCCCTTCGTGTGTGGAGTATTATGTTTTGTGCAGGGTAAGACCGTTTAGACTGACCTGAAGTGACAAGTGCCGCTGTGGCCTGAGCACTGAGCCTCGAGCGCGACCAGAAGTTCAAAAAACTCCCCCCCCGGAGATCGTTTTGGTAATAATAATTACGAACTAACGTGACTGACGTGAGACTCAATTTTTTATTAATTTTCATCACATTTGTTCATTCTCTTTTTTGCAGACAGATCCAGAATACGTACAGTGGATGCACTTCCATCAGGCCTGTTTATCCTATATCATCTCATGATTGGAGTAAGCCCCGATTTACGATGTACGATGATCTGTCGATCAACGAGCTGCTGTCCGACATAACGAGCGGTAAGACGAAGTCCGCCTCCAGTCTGATTCGAAGTTAATTTGCGGATGGAATTTTACAGTCAGGAAATTCTTTCGACCTACGATGATCAAGCCTGCTTGACTGACTGGTTTTCTCATTCACATCAGCGTGATACGTAATGAAAAAGTCCGCTCTAAAGCATGACAAGCTTTTCAAAGGCATTCAATTCAGCTATTTGATATATATTATATACAATTATTTTTACTTCACCACTTGTAGATTTATCAATAAAGATACTCGTCATCTAGTGGTGGAGATTAGCTTTATAGTCAAGTACTCTGTCTACAGATCAGTGGCAACTTTAAGCCCACTGGACTATGACCAAGTTACTTTATGTTTTTAGGTCGTAGTTTACAAAATTATTAGATCTGTAATCCGTAAAGTGGTTCGTTTTTTCGGGTAGGGGGTAATTTACCCCTTTTCTGACTGTTTTTTCCTTGCATCTTGCTCAATAAGAAACTTCGAAAAAATAACTCTCATGAATGATTTTATGTATTTTTTATTACTCAAAAAAACTATTCAACCTGATGAAAAAAATTTATATGTAGTTAATACCAAGTAAAAAGTATTTAATTTTCATAAGATTTAAATATAAAATTGATCGTACATTTTTTTAGAATTTATGTACTGAGAAAAAAAGGCAAGGTTACTCATTTTTCAGTATAGAATTTACTTATAAGCCATAATAAATTAAAAACGTTGAATTTGCCATCAATCGTACGAAAAATTTTTAAATATGTAACGTGAATCCGCAATGAACTTCTCAACGAAAAAATATTTTCCATAAAAAGCAGTAATGAAGAGTTGTTTATGGTGTTTAAGTTAATGGATGATTTTCATATTCCAGGTTGTCGATGAAAGGTATTGTAGATCATTTCTTCTGGAAATTTCAGGTTGTATGTTGTATGCATGTATGTTTTTCTATGTTAGTGGCAGATAGGAAAAAATCGCATCCCCATGAAAACTTTTGTTTGCCGCTCACGCAATTTGAAGAGTTTCAAAATAAGATTTTTGGGTTGATAAATGTACTGCCTAGGTTAGAAGAGGATAAAAAAAATTACGGTGGCTGTGACTAATTCGGAAAAAATTTAGAAACCATTGTTCGATTTAAATTAACATATAAAGTGGTTTCAGCTTTAATTTTTCGGTAAAACGTATTGATACAATCAATTACGTCTCGTTCAGAAGAAATAATCAGGATCAAATGATCCGTTCCTAGTTCCAAACAAGATGTGAAACAAACTATTGGCCAATCGTTCCATGAAGAGATGCAGGTACCAAGTAGCCAAAAATGAACACAAACTAGTAATAAGACGTACGCGAAATCTAAAATCCACAATGACAGTGAAGAAAAGGATGATGATAGTTGATACCAAGTAAGATTTGAACAATTAGATACAATTTAATTAAAAGTTTGAAAAACAGTCTATAAATAATTATAGATATATTATACATGTATATTATATATTTATATTTACACTTTTCAATCATCATTTCTTCACAAATTTGTGCCACACGTATTATGAACGTTTTTTTTGTGTCTGGTCAAATGTATCTTTTGTCCAAATTTCTTATTACACTTGTCGCATGAATAGTCTTTTCGGCCTTCGTGGACTGCTTGTTGGTGTCTGATCAATGACATTTTCAGTCCAAATTTTTGCTTGCATCTGTCACATGCATAATCTTTGCGACCTTCATGGACTGTCCTTAGGTGCTTTAACAAATCTGATTTATGTCCAAATTTTTTCTCGCAATTCCAGCATGCAAAATCTTTCCGATTTTCATGTACTGCCTGCAAGTGGGTTACTAAATTATATTTACTTCCAAATTTCTTCTCGCATTTGTCGCATGCAAAATTTCTGCAACCTTCGTGCACTGTTTTTCGATGTCGAATCAATGTCGATTTTTCTCCAAATTTCTGTTGGCAATTGTCGCATGCAAAATCTTTGCGACCTTCGTGGACTGTTTTTTGGTGCCGGAACACATCTATTTTTTGTCCAAATTTCTTTTCACACGTATCACATGCGAAATCTCTACGACCGTCGTGTACTGTCTTTTGGTGGGTGAGCAGATTGGATATTTGTCCAAATTTCTTCTCGCATTTACCACATGCATAATTTTTGCGATTCTCATGGACTGTCCTTTGGTGCTTCAACAAATCTGATTTACTACCTGATTTCTTCTCGCACCAGTCGCATTTGTAGTCCTTGCGACCTTCATGAACTGTTTTTTGATGGAAAAGCAAATACGATTTTTGTCCAAATTTCTTTTCGCACCAGTCGCATGTGTAATCTTTGCGACCTTCGTGGACCGTCTTTTGGTGTAAGAGCAAAGTCGATTTCAATCCAAATTTCTTTTCGCATTGGTTACATGCATAATCTCTGCGATCTTCATGAACTGTCTTTTGGTGCTGAATCATACTGCATCGTTTGCCAAATTTCTTCTCGCACTTGTCACATGAGTAATTTTTATGTACCCTAAAAATAAAATTATTACGACCTTCGTGGATTGTTTTTTCGTGTCTAATCCATTCCGTTTTTTTTTCAAATTTCTTGCCGCGATCACTATTATCATGTACTGTCTTTATATGCACGAGTAAACTCTGTTTATTTCCGAATCTCTTGGCGCATTTTTCACATAAATAATCTTTGAAAACTTCGTGAAATATTTTTTTGTGCTTGAGTAAGGTTGATTTATTTTCAAACTTCCTCTCGCACTTGTTACATGAGAAATCTTCGCGATTTTTGTGTACTGATTTTTGGTGCGTAAGCAAACTTGATTTTTTCAAAAATTTCTTCTCGCAATTGTCACATGGAAAACGTTTGTGGCTTTTGTGTTCTGATACTTGGTGTCTACTCAAATGACTTCGGAACTCGAATTTCTGCTCACACTTGTCACATTCGTAATTTTTCTGACTATCGTGAATTGTGTCTCGGTGTGTTATCATGCTAGATTCTAGTGTAAATGACTCCTGACAAATATTACAAACGTATTTTTTGTCGTCTGAAACAATAATGTCGGGTTTACTCACATTATTTTCCGAGAAATATTCGTTGGGTTTCGCATCACTTTTTTCCATTTTAGTGTCTGAATTAAATGAAACAATCAATCCTTCTATTTAGTGATACAAAAATTAAATAAGTAAAATTTATCTTTTGGAATGATGACTCGTTCATCAGCAAAGACAACATTCAAAGTAATTTATTTTCATTATTAACTTTATTAGTATACGAGGGAAGATGTGAAAATCGTTTATGATCACAATTAAGTTACTGATTTGTTTATTTAAACTTCTAATATTTGAAGCAACATATTAACGTCCAAAATGAAGAAATTTCGCGAACTAGTTGAAAAATAAATAGTGAGCAGTAATTAGTAGTATGCGAAGTCCTAACACTACAAAGACTGTCAACAAAGGTATAATGATGGTTGACATCAGGTAAGACTCAATAATTTTGGCACAATTTTAATTAATATTTTAGAAAAAAGTCTATGTAATGATCGATATATTATTTATTTACAATTGTTAAAATTATATCATATTTTACTTCTTGCATTTTACATGCCTAATCTTTACACCCTTTATGGATTTTCTTTTGACGAAAAAGCAAAACCGATTTATGTCCAAATATTTTCTTACACTTGTCGCACACAGTCTTTCCGACCTTCGTGAACTGTCTTTTGGTGCAATAGTAAATTTCGTTTTCGTATAAATTTCTTGTCGCATTTGTCACATTCATAATCTTTGCGACATTCGTGAACTGTTTTTTGGTGTTTGAGCAAATTCTATGTATGTCCGAATTTCTTCGCTCACTGGTCGCACGCGTAATCTTTTCGATTTTTTGTGTACTGTTTTTAAATGCGTAAATAAATTCGCTTTTATTCCAAATTTTTTCTCGCACTTTTTACATGCCTAATCCCTCCGCCCTTCGTGTACTGTCTTTAGGTGGACATGCAAATACGATTTTTGTCCAAATTTCTTTTCGCATTTGTCACATGAGTAATCTTTGCGACGTTCATGTATTATCTCTTTGTGCCTGAACAAATCTGATTTTTGTCCAAATTTTTTTTCACGCATATCGCATGTATAATCGTGGCGATCTTCATGGGCTCTTCGTTGGTGAAAAAGCTGATGAAATTTTTGCGTAAATTTCTTGTCGCACTTATCGCATGAGTAATCTTTGCGACCCTCGTGTACTGTCCTTTGGTGTTTAAGCAAACTCGATTTTTGTCCAAATTTCTGCTCACACTTGTCGCATACGAAATCTTTCCGACCCTCGTGTACCGTCTTTAAGTGGGTCAACAAACTCACTTTTTGTGTAAATTTTGTCTGGCACTTATCGCATGCGAAATCTTTGCGACCATCATGTACTGCCATTTGGTGTTTCATCAAATTACTTCGATCTCTAAATTTCTTTTCGCACCTGTCACATGCATAATCATTTCGACGTTCATGTACTGACTTTTTGTGCCTGAACAAATCTGATTTTTGTCCAAATTTTTTTTCGCATTTATCGCATGCAAAATCTTTGCTATTTTCATGGACTCTTTTTAGATGGACGAGCAAATCTCTTTTTTGTCCAAAATTCTTCTCGCACTTGTCACATGTGTAATCTTTTCGACGTTCATGTACTGTCTTTTGGTGTTTGCTCAAATTGCCTCGGAGTCCAAATTTTTTTTCGCATTTATCGCATGCAAAATCTTTGCGGTTTTCATGGACTATCTTTAGGTGGGAAAGCAAATGTCTTTTTTGTCCAAACTTCTTCTCGCACTTGTCACATGTGTAATCTTTGCAACCTTCGTGTAATATCTTGTGGTGTAAGAGCAAATTCCTTTTTTGCCTAAATTTCTTTTCGCATTTGTCGCATGAGAAAATTTTGCAATCCTCGTGGATTTTTGTTATGTGTAAGAGCAAACTTGATTTATTTAAAAACTTTTTCCCACAATTGTCACATAAGTTATCTTTTAATCCTTCGTGTAATGTCTTTCGGTAAAAGAGCAAGTTCGATTTTTTCTTAAACTTCTCCCTACATTTGTCATATGTGAAATCCTTAGAACCTTCGTGAACTGTTTTGATGTGCAAGAGCAAACTATGTTTATTACTAAATCTCTTCGCACATTTTTCGCATAAGTAATCTTTAAAAACTTCGTGGAATATCTTATTGTGCTTGAGTAAAGTTGATTTATTTTCAAACTTCCTCGCGCACTTGTTACATGAGAAATCTTCGCGATTTTTGTGTAACAATTTTTGGTGCGTGAACAAACTCGATTCTTTCGCAAATTTCTTCTCGCAATTTTCACATGGAAAATGTTTGTGGCTTTTGTGTTCTGAAGTAGTATGTATTTGGTGTCTACTCAAATGACTTCGGAAGTCGAATTTCTGTTCACACTTATCACATTCATAATTTTTCTGATTATTATGAATTGTATCTCGGTGTGTTATCATGCTTGATTCTAATGTAAATGACTCCTTACAAATATCACAAATATGTGGTTTTTCATCTGAAACCACATTGTCATGTTCACTTTTTTTTTTTTTATATTATAGTGTGTTAGGACCCGTCTAGGGGTATTCACACTTGCTTTATTGCATTTGTGTTACAGTTATTTACAGATAGAATTACATGCGATTATATATAGTGTATAAAATTAGAATTAGGCCGGTGTGAAAATTATTATTATTACATTTTTTTTTCTTGTTTTACAAAAGGTATGGTGGGAGGAGAGGGTGAGA